ATAGATAGATAGATAGATAGATAGATAGATAGATAGATAGATAGATAGATAGATAGATAGATAGAGGTTGATTAAGAAAGAGAGAGGTAGAGCGCGTGAGTCGTGGACAGACAGACAGACACAGGCGGGGCCATGTGCAGCAGAAGGGCGCCAGTAATGCGTATCAACACAGACGAACAAAAACGTTACCAGTGACCTTGACCAGATGTTTTCCCCCCAAGTCACGTGACTTTATCTGCACCATGTCCGTCAAAGTCTGACCAATGGGCAGCGGATGCATGCACACTGTTGTACTCTTTGTTGTGGCCATTGTTTTGTGCGTACAGGGCGGCATTTGTCCACTGCTCTCCAATATAATGAGGGTAGCTACCAGGGGCGACGGAACCTGGGGGCTTCAGCACTTTGAATCCCATCGCCCATTTATCTCCCCCTCCCAATTTTTTGGATTTCTTTCGGGAGGGGAGGGAATGGGGAGGGGGGTCTGAGCTCCGACCCCTAAAAATATTGGTGGGAGGGGGTGGGTTTGATGGCTGAAGGGCTGAAAAGAAACGCTGGCGTTAGATAGGACATACTTTAAGAAAACATGTCTTAGCACTGGAACCCACAGGGGCATAGAAATAAAGGCAGACCCCCCTCCCACCGCCAAATCTAGAATGAAGCTAGAGAGTAAAGTTAAAAAGACTGGAAGGACATATGGTGGGCTGCATACAACAGCGAAGAATATGACGACTTGGCTTCATTTGGTTGAGGCCCATTGCTCCAAATGCGGATAGCATGCAGAAGAAGACTCCGTATCTACACGCCCCTTGAGTCCCCTTTCTTCCGCCCTGCAAAAAAGTTATTAGTCAGAGTCCCTCCCCCAATACTGTCTTCAGGTCGGCGCCCTTTAGGACTATCACTCCCCCCCCCCCCCCCCCCACGCCTCCCTCTTTCTACCAACTCCACCTCTACCCCACAACCAAAACCCAGCGTGATAACTGCAGGTGATGATTACTCTAGGTCAGGGTCAGATGCTGGCTGTGGGGGTCTGTAGATCAGACTGCAGATTTTCTGCGTTTTAGTTGATGTCTGGAGACGGCCACCAGTCAGTCGAGTCGGTTCCTACAGATGACCAGAGGTCAGTGGTGAAGGGATACACGTACATTCATTGACATTCCTAGAGAGGCATGGTAGAGTTGCGGTGCCAACATTAGTCGGTTGTCTCGGATACTGGGAATCCAAAAAACCTTGAATTTTCTGACGGTAATGATGTTTATGGTTCGACATGTGGATGTATTGTTAAGTTAAGTTAGTTGCGTATCCTTTACAGGACGTTGAAGAACCAACCCCAGCATTTGTTTAGCTGTTGTGGTTTTTCTAGGCAATTTTACGTTCAATAGTTTGCCATTGCTTATCGAACGGTCAGCTCTCGGTACCACTGTCAAAACCAACGCAAGACAAATCGTCCGCAGCTGGAACCCGACACCCCAGCATTACGAAGCGCGTTCGCAATGACAGCCGCAGACGCAGACATGTATTGCGCATGAGTGAATGAAACTGAGTAGGTGCCAGGTCTAGTAGTAACGGCGGCTAGCGTGATGTTGGTCACATCACCCACCAAGTGCCGATTGATCTATCAAATACAGGTCTAGCCCTATATACCCAATACGCCCGAAGGAGTGGAAATGGTCCTTTACTTTAATTACTTTTATTTAAATATGTTTATTTGCCAATCAGTACAAAATAATAATATGGTACTTAATTTATAACTTACCCCTGACGTCACGACTACGTCACGGGAGACAATCAAAATAAATTCTAGGGTTTTCAGGTTGTAGTTTCTCGCGATTTATCTACAGCCAAGTTTAGGGTTAGGGTTAGGGTTAGGATTAGAAGACACTAGATGAACACTAAAAAAAAAAAAAAAAAAAAAAAAAAAAAAAAAACAACAACAGCACACTTGCACCCCTTGAAATAATGGACTGTCAGGTCAGCTGTGGATTTCCCACGGGGATTTCGTGTTTGGGGTACGTTATAAATTAAGAACCAATAATACTAATTAGAATTATTATTATCGTAAACTTTAATAAGGCGCTACCTGATCTCAGCAAAATTATAAGTTTTACAAATTTTTTAAAATACTTTTTTTTATTTAAACCTGCAAACAATCCATCACTCAAACCACCCAATAAAGGACAAGACAAATTCAGAAAACCACGACGCTGGGCTGCGACATGGTAACAGTGAGACGACAAAAGAAGGAATATTTTTTTTTTCATCGCCTTTTAGTGCCATTGTTTGTCACATAGGCTCACAATCTATTTCTCCATTCCGTTGCGCCTTTATATATATATATATATATATATATATATATATATATATATATATATATATATATATATATATATATATATATATATATATATATATATATATATAGACTATGTCCTTTAACGTTCAGAGGAAATTTCCTGACAGTCAGTCGAAAATTTCCACCCAATCTTGCACCGGCTTTTTAATTTCACGAGCATGACTGTTGGTGAGCGAATGAAACGCCGCAAATTCTCACGTCAGTTATAAAAGCTACACATAAATATCGAACGGCTGTTATTGTAACGACTCTTCTCTCAGACGAAAGGCATTCTCAACGTATAATAGTATTGTATCAGCTTTCAATAGCATTTGATGCTGCACTAGCTAACAGTCATCATTGTATAGGTCCGAATTTAATTCAAAGAATGGTATTCACATTTAGTGCTGTTTAGGCGATTAGGAAAATCGTGTAACAATCTCAAAGGGATGAATCACCCACCCTTTTATTTCGGTGATGGACAATTTAGAAAAGGCCTAGTTTTGTGGCTTGTAGAAAGTGTTACCAGAATGGTACAGTGGAACCCAGGTAATATTGCTGTATAGGGTGTACTGCAGCTAACCTCCACTGTGGAGAGACACACACTGTATTTATATATGGGTACGTTTTTATTTCTGTCTTAGCCGTCAACTAGACCATGAAATATTTCTCCCGATTTTCCAATAAGATCTTGTTATTTGGAAAAATGTTACGAATACCTTGGACAGCCAGAATAACTAACAATGATTGCCTGGAAATGACTAATGAATGTTCGACATTATACACAATACTAAGAAGGAGACAAACAAAGCTCTTTGATTATGTGATGGAAAAAGCCCTGGAAAATATCGTGACGACCAGAAAGATCACAGGCAGTAGAGACTGAGGCAGACCAAGAGAAACGATGGTGGATGGCTTAAGACGGTGACATGGGGGTAATCAGTGGAACTGATTCCAAACGCCAAAGGCCGAGATGCATAAACACCTACGCCAGCTGGCAATGCAGTTAATGATGATTTTCCGGTCCGAAGAATTAAAAAGTTTGAAGAACTCTTCCTACTTCCTATTCTTATTCTACTACCTTCCTCTCTGTGGATAATGGTACGATTGTATCTAATTCCTCCTCACATTCTCCCCTCATTGTCTCTTCTTCGAGATTATTTAGGTAGGTTTCACCTGTAATATTTTATAGGACTTGTGGTTCCATTTTTTTTTTTCCTGTAAGTTCTTGTGACGGATCTCGGAGTTGCTGGTCAAAAGGTTAAAAAAGCTGGGCCCTCGTGGGTTCAAAATCCTCAGTAAGGTATGAATTTTATTCTGTTAATGACAAACATAAAATCCTAACCTCTACTGTCCGTACCGGCAGCAGCAGCCATGTTCTGCCTTTCAGGCTAAAAGACACCCCCCTTCCCTCCCCCCTGACCCCACTCTCACGCATAAACCGCAAAAGTGGTGGCAGTGTTCTTATGATAGTAAAAACTGTTTGATGTTCAGTATTCATGCATGTGATTGACAGGTTGTTTTTTTCCGTCTATTACATTTATCCTTCTGTAATTTCTTGCCAATTTGAAATTAAAGGATCCCTAATTCCCATTTCTGCTAGTTCTTATGATGGTAATGACTACTTGATGATTAGTGCTCAGACTTAGGTATGGCTTTGCTTTTGCAGCTAACACATTAAAATCCAGATTTAAATACTGACAATTAGAATGTCTATATCAGCGGTTCTCAATCAATGGGTCCCGACCCTTTTTGGGGGGTCGAACGAGTCTTTCGCAGGGGTCGCCTAAGACCATCAAAAAATACATATTCACTGAAGTTATGTGTAACAAGGAACATAATTGTATGGTTAAGGGTCACCACAACACGAGGTACGGTATTTAAGGGTCGCAGCATTAGGAAGGTTGAGAATCACTGGTCTATATACTTAAATTGGGTCCTATTCTAACTTCTAAGCAATATTTAGCTGTTAGTATGGTGATCCTTTCACTCATAACGTAAATTTACTTGTGACTCCATGTCTCTAGAGAATTTATAGTAAGTGTTTTATGTTCATTCTGCAGATTAACGGTGGGGTGATTCTGACAACTCGCTAACATCAGAATACTGAAACAACCTGTTTACATCGGAGTATTGTGACAACGTTCCGACATAGAGTGCAGTGTCGACCTGATGACATCAAACGTAGTTATAACCTGCTTCATCGAGGTGCTGTGATAACAGGTCGGTGTGGAATTAGTGTTTCAAACTTCTGCGATCGGTGTGCCTACAAGACTGACGTCTTGCGACTGTCGTCTGTCACTGCTAGAACGTAAGGAATAAAACGTCATGGTGTGCTGAAAGTATCTCTGCCTATCTGTAATACTGGGTCGCTAGCAAGCAGTCCATCTAAAACGTCTGTACACTGGATAGATATAAAACCGTAAAAAAAATACATCAGCGAGTTTCACAATATAACAAACACATACAAAACGTGAACGTTGCAGTTATAGAGCCTTCGTCAGCACATACATAAATCAAACAAAACTTCCGTACATTAAGGTATACTGCCAGAAAGAAGACGGCCTCTACGCATATACATAGTTGTACCGCTAGAACGTCTACAATCCTATACCTCGTTACCTTCATTTATTTTGCTAGCATGATATACAACACGCTGTAGACAACAAACATGGAGAGGCGCGATGTCAGAGACAAGAAGAGAATAGCTATTATAGGCGCAGGAAGTAGTGGACTGACCGCTATCAAGTGTTGCCTGGATGAAGGTCTGCTGCCGGTCTGTCTCGAGAAAGGTTCAGACATCGGAGGTTTGTGGAGGTTCTCGCCCGATGTGGTCGATGCTACCGCGAGCATCTACAACAGTCTGGTGATCAACACTAGCAAGTTCATGATGATGTTCAGCGATTTCCCGCCTCCCGACTGCTTCCCGCCATTTCTGACTCACGAGAATGTCTTCGAGTACTTTCGTCTGTACGCGAAGCACTTTCACCTGCTCCCTCACATTATGTTTCACACGCAGGTGTGCCACGTGACCAAGTCCAGCGACTATGACAGTACAGGACAGTGGGACGTCACCTTTAGGAGACAGGTGACAGCACACGACTGCTGTCAACACCTGCAGGATGTCGTCTCTGAAAGATTTGATGGTGTCATGATCTGCACCGGTCACCATTCTGTGCCGCATATCCCTCATATCCCGGGTTTGGACACCTTTCAGGGGACAGTTCTGCATTCACATGCCTACAAGGATGCAAGTCCTTTCCATGGAAAGCGAGTGGTCATCTTGGGTACGTGTTCAGTGTGTCTGGATGTGTGTTGAATGTGTGTACGTGTGTCTGGATGTGTGTTGAATGTGTGTGTATGTGTGTCTGGATGTGTGTTGAATGTGTGTGTACGTGTGTGTGTGCGCGCGAGCGTAGCGTAATAATATATAAATAGTTACCCCCCCCCCCCCCCCCGCCCTTCCAACCATTACTCCCACCGTTCCCTAACAAGCAAATATGTCGTAATAAAGCGACTAATTAGGACTTTGTTGAAACTGGATGTATTGGGCTGAGAGGCACAGATATCGCAGCATAGCTGTAAACCGCAAGAAAATGTTCCAATCACCGTTTAGATGTAAACGCAGCAGCAGCAGCAGCAGAAGAAGAAGAAGAAGAAGAATGAAGAAGAAGAAGAAGAATAAGAAGAGAAGAAGAAGAAAAGAAGAAGAAAAAGAAGAAGAAGAAGAAGAAGAAAGAAGAAGAAGAAGAAGAATAAGAAGAAGAAGGAGAAGAAGAAGAAGAATCAAGAAGAAGAAGAAGAAGAAAGACGAAAGAAAGAAGAAGAAAGAAGAAGAAGAAGAAAGAAGAAGAAGAAGTCAGAAGAATAAGAAGAAGAAGAAAGAAGAAGAAGGAAGCGAAGAAGAAGAAGAAGAAGAAGGAGAAGAAGAAGAAGAAGAAGAAGAAGAAAGAAGAAGAAGAAGAAGAAGAAAAGAAGAAGAAGAAGAAAAGAAGAAGAAGAAGAAGAAGAAGAAGAAGAGAAGAAGAAGAAGAAGAAGAAGAAGAAGAAAAAGAAGAAGAAAAAGAAGTTGTCTTGCTTTATACTATACAATAATTGTAAAACAACATATAAAGACAGTTTAACACTGCAATGTCACACCTTACAATAACAATTGACCACTGCACAACAGCAGTGCAAAACTGTACAGTAGCCGTATCGTATAATACTGCACAGTAACAGTATTACAGTATTATTATTACTCTCTGCACAATAACCATAAAACACCCACCAAAAAAAAAGGGGGGGGGGGAAGGAGGAGTGGAACAAATACCTAAACTATTAATATGTTTATTTCTACTATTAAATTGGTACTACTGTTTGGAGCGGAAGCATGGTGAGAACAACTAAATCAATTACTAATAAACTGCAAACATGCATTAGCCGGTGCCTGCGCGGAATACAGGGAATTAAATGTTATGATAGAATCACTAATGTTGAGCTTTGGGACAGAATTAAACAAGTTCTAGTTGACCAAAAAGTGAAGAAAAAACACTGGCGTTGGACAGGACCCACGCTAAGAAAACTTGAAAATACTATCTGAAGCCCACATGGACATAGAAATAAAGGTGGACCGATAATTACACATAGAACGCAGCCAGATAGTGAAGTTTATAAGATGGAGAGGAGATGGCGTGAGCTGCCTGCAAGAGCAAAGGATAGAATGACTTGGCGTGAGTTAGTTGAGAGCTTATGTTCCAGTGGGAGATAAAAGGTAGGGGGGGGGGTGGGAAGGCTTAGTAGTGAACACAAATGGCGACTGTCCAGAATAAGTCAGAAGCAGACTGTTTCAACAATGTAGAAATTAACCCTGAAAGCAATCAAGAAGAACCTATGGCAAAGCACCTGCAAACGAGTTTAAAGTAAAAACAAATGATGGATGTCCCGAAAGCTGCCGTATTTTGGCCACGTTAATCAACATTTTGCCTTGGAAAAAACGGTGATAAAGGGTACCCTTTCCGGAAAATGAAGCAGATGCTGACTTCCATGAAGGTGTCAGATACTGAAGATGCACTGGGTATGAAACCAATTGTTTGCTGGCATCTTTCGTTCTTTCCACAATAGGTGTGCCACGTGACCAAGTCTATAGGAGTCATGGGACTCACAGCCCGTGGCAATGGGAGTGTAACTAGAAAGACTCGACCGACTTAGGAAAAGTCGTCCATCTTTCACAATTACAGCACGGGATTTTAGGATTGTTGTTGTTGTCAGCGCATATATTTAGTATGTGTTTTCTCAGAGGTTCAGTCTCATTCTTTTCTGCAATCATTTCTTCCTTTATTCTCATTTCCTCCCTGGTTTGCCCCTCCACGCAGAAGAATCCATGACATTTCGTTTCCACGAATCTAACTCCATAACTGTATCATTCATGTCCCGCTTGCACAGATCTTTTTATCGTAGTAGAGTCCGACCTCGACTTTCTCTACTCATTTGTAATTCACCACAGATGATATCCTTAGGGACTCTGTCATCCTTCATTCTCCAGGTGTGACCCAGCCACCTGAGCCTTCGGAGACTGAGCAATAAGATAACTGTTGTAATACATGCCCTTTCCAATACCTCGGCGTTTGTGATCTTGTCTTGCCAAGTATTCCTCATAGGTATCGCATGTGAAAGCTATTTAGCCGTTTCTCCTGGTGCGAATATGTTGAGCAAGCATGACAGGAATAAGGCTGTAGAGTTGGCTAGTTAAAGAGCCTTTCAGGTGTGCCATGAGGACAGCAACATTCTGTAAAGAGCCTACTGACTGATGGTGATGATGATAATGATGATGATGATGATGATAATGATGATGACAACCGAAGTATACAGAGAAGAACTAATAAACACCGGCATATAGCATTTGGTCTAGAGAGGCGAGCTAGCGGTCTTCATCATCATAATCATCACCACTATCATCATCTTAAACATCATCGCCACCAAAAGCAATTCAGCAACAGCAACAACAACAACAGCAGCATCAACAAACTAGAAATTTCTATGAATTTTATGCCAAGCTGTTTTGCCTTGCTAAACTGTTCTCTCATCTAAAGGATTTGGCAACTCGGCCGTGGATATCGCCTGTGACCTGGCCAAGTCTGCACAGCAGGTGAGGGTGTGCACTGTGTATTTGTGTGTTTGTGTGTTTGTGTTGGTGCATGCGTGCGTGCGTGCGCTCGTGTGTGTGTGTGTGTCGTCGCGCCTGGTTACTTTTTATTTATAAATCTGTCAACATTAACATGTCTAATTTTTATTTATTTTCAGTTTTTAAACTGAACAGATTACGGCGCTCCTTTGACTTGTTCCCCAAAATGGCGGCTTTAATATGATGGCGTTCGAAAGAGAGCTAATTTGGCCAATTTCTTGCCATTAAATATCCAAAAATATCCGAATGCGGGTCAGTTCTATTAAAAATATATGTGCCGGCTCCGGATAACGAAACAAATGCTCTGACAGGGTCTCGGCGATACGGTGCTTGCCGACCTGCTTCTGCGAGTGTGCCTCACCGCCGAGCGTATCCCCCGCGCCGAGCGGCGCGGATGGGGGCTAAACTAGATGGCTGGGACTCACGAGTGGCAGCTACCGCATCTCCTGCAACTTCCTCCAATTACTGTACTCGTGAGTACCAGGCAACTAGATACGCTCGGCGATGAGTTTAATCGAGTTTGGCGCATGCCGACAAGTCTGACATCTACCGCTGTTAAATCCTCCAATCGGAAGAACACAGTATTGCTAATCACTTTCATCGTCTGTAATGTCTCGAAATTGGTCAACGGTCGCTAATATTGTCTGCAAGGATCGTCTTCTGCAGAAACGCTCGAAATTTTTGTCAACGGTCGGTATTTATCGTCTGCTACTAGTACCGTGTGCAATGTTGATAGTGACTGTCAGGTAATCCTTGTGTTGCTGCGATTATTTGTCCCTTGGCAGACAGTCCGTATTTTATATATACGGGAACACCGTCGTTCGGATATTTTTGGATATTTTATGGCCAACATATGGCATGCCGCCATTTTGGGGAACAAGTCAAAGGAGTGCCCAGATTACAGTATATTGTCTCTACAAAATATCAGTATGTAATCCACTGCAATAAGCCTATGACAATAAAAAAATACACTTGTAGTAGACGGTTCTATAAAACTACCTGGGAGGATTTAAAAGTACCTCACAACAACAAGGTTTAGCATATAAAATGTAAATATATCGTAACGACAGAATAATGGTGTTGCATTTCACTATAAATAACCGCAACGACAGATTCTGGTAATCTGGTAATCTTAGTTTCAGCATCATAGCACCCCATAGTTGCCCCGCTCCTGTGCCAACGAAAAACTTACAAAATGTTTATCACATTTTAAATAAAATCCTCAGCTCACAGTGTCACGCCATGCACTCAGCTCAGAAGCTGGGCAACGAAACTATATCCTTCCAGTCTACAAATGGAGCAAAAATGCAACGGCCACCGTCTGGCAGAAGCAAAAAAAAAAAAAAAATTGCCACGGCTAAAAGAAGTGGCCGTGCCTAGCGTCCATTTTGACCTGAAGCATTATGTAAAGGTTAATAGCGGTAAAGACAGATTACACATGATGAGCAATTAGTTCTCTTATTTTGCAATCTATCTTAACTCCACTACTTCTCCACCCTCTGAGCCCGGCTCTCTAGCGTCGTTGGCTAAACCGGATTGCGCGGAGACCGGGTGACGAACTCCTTGTGGTCCGGGTTCAATTCCGGGGGGTGGGCAGGAAAGCCACATTTTCTCCCAGATTAACGGTATTTACAATGGAATCAGGGCCGACAAGTTGCGATTTCCATAATACCGAGCCTAAGGGTTAACAACTCATGGCTTCTGGATACTTAAACAAACTCCACCCTCTGTGGTTGGGAGGGGGGGGGGGAAGACGGGCAAATTACAACAGATTGTGACGACCCTGGTTGTCCTGAAAAGGAACATTGTTGAAGACGGTGCTTCGTGATGTTTGTTTGGCTTTTTTCCGCGACTTCACAGAGCGGTAACCTAGCAGGCAATAGGACGCCAGCGCAGCCACCAGCACCAGTTTAACCAAGCACCAGCAACAGTCAGCAATAACCTACAGAAATAGGAGCTAAGCGAGCTGGACCAGACCGGCACCCAGAACCCCAAGTACCACACCGGACTTAGGAAGACAAAAAACAGGAATATCAGGTGTGACTTCACACCACACAGAACTGGAAACCAAATCAGATAGCCGCGGAACCTTCCTTCACAATGCAGGACTTCGGGCCTCTGAAAAAGGATCAAGTTTGGATTTTTTTTTTTCTTGAATCGGAATCGTAATTACACTCTATAATTACTATAACTGTTTGAAAGTAGAGTTATAATATATTGAATCTGGCAATCTATGCTCCTGCAAACTAGTACAGTTTATACATAAGCTATACCTTATTGAATAACCGAACGTACTTGATATGTGTAAATAAATATTTATTATTAAAACATATAAATTTAAAAAAAAAAAAAAAAAAAAAAAAAAAAACTCTATATGTTCCAACTATAACAAGGATGGGTTGAATGGGATTCTTCTTCTTCTTCCTCTTCTTCTTCTTTTTCTTCTTCTTCTTCTTCTTCTTCTTCTTCTTCTTCTTCTTCTTCTTCTTCTTCTTCTTCTTCTTCTGCCTTATATCCACCAATGGCCCTCAACCGACACGTGTCAAGTCGTTTTATCTTTTGGAGTTTCATGCAGCTTACCTCATGTCATTTTCACTGTTTTAACTTCACTCTCAAGCTGCCCTCTCCATGTGTTTTTGGATCTTCTTTTATTTTCAAGTCCCCGTGGGTCTCAGTGTAAATATATTCTAGTTACATAGTTCTCAGATTTTCTCAACGTGTGTCCGATCCGGCACCGCCGTCTTTTCTTCACCGCTTGGTCCAATAGAACTAGCTTAGCTTTCTCACGAAGTCCAACACTGGTGTTTCTAATATACTATTTAATTGCATTAATTCTGCGTAAGCACAAGTTAAGGAATGTTTGTAGTTTATTAGTAAGTAGTTGTACCCGGCCACGCGCTGCCCAGAATGGTAGTAATTGTTTACTCTTTACAACAGGTGTATCTCAGTTCTCGACGGGGTGCCTGGATAGTTCCCAGGACGGCGTTCTGGGGCCTGCCTGCGGACATGCTGGCCAACAGTCGTCTGGTGTTCACGATGCCCTACAGGCTGCTGGACTGGTGTGTCCAGCTGCAGGCCAACTTTAGGATTGACCACGCCACCTACGGAATAAAGCCTGCACACGGGTGAGTTGATGTACTTACTATACATGTCCTCTAGATGAAACCGATTTATGATACCTGAAAGTACTCTAATTATTACCCGGAAAGGACCCTTTTCCACGCTTTCAAGCGTAGTGGTCACATAATGAGACACCTATATTTTATAGACTAATAGGCTAACTCTAGGTGATGTGGTCAGCATCATACCGGGAGCTTTTACTTTGCAGGACTTTACCGCTACCCATTTAATGCTGGGTTGACCTGGGAGCCAAGATAATTTTTGAAAGAAAAAGAAAAGACTAGCTCTGTCAAAGCTACGATTTATAATACCTGCAGGCAGTGTGAGCGGTGTTGAGGTATGTTTGGGCCATCGCTTCTCAGCCTGTGGGTTGCGATCCTTTTGGATGTCGAACGACCCCTTTACAGGGGTGACCTAAGACCATCTTAGAACACATTTTTACTAAAGTTATGAAATAGCAACAAAAACTTCTTTTATGGTTGGGGGTCACCACAACGTGAGGAACGGTATTAAAGGGTCGCGGCATTAGAAGGTTGAGAACCACTGGTCTAGGCCACCCAAAACTGATACAAACCCGTTTAAACGTGTCTTAGAACAATGGCCTGAAGAGAACGATGTAGCGAGAAGTGACAAGGGGTTCTGACCAACGCTCAACACTCAGGGGAAAGGCAAGACGGATATACAAATCGACTGCTAATAGCACCATTGGATATGGAACTTTGCCCTGGCTACTGAAAAAGGAATGAAGCCTATGGGAGTGTCAGCTCAACTCATCTGATTGAATACGCGTAAGAAAATCAAGACTGGGATTGTATCGTTAAGCACTTCGTCAATATTTTGTCTTAACATCTTTTTGCGGGTGTACGAGGTAACGAGGGTGCAAATAATCCTGCAGATACTGCAGTTGCAATGCCGGTCCTGAACTGGACAAAAGCGATATTATCAAAACTATGGGCAGCACTTGCTGTGAAGACGAAGACGGCAAAAGGGCGTGATCCCGTGTCTCTGTCCAGGCTGAAGGGCGAATCGGGTGCAGCCTGTAGCTGCAAGAAATGAACATTTCACCAAGGGGACAAGACATCTGATTAATCGAAACAAACGTCGTTAGTCGTTTCACGCCCGTGGAGCTTTTAGGGAAAGTGAGGGGGGGGGGGGCATCTCTCGATTTGTCCGAAGTGCTGTGGAGTTAGCCTCACAAATTACTCGAGTCGAGGTTGTGTTCCTTACTGGCACATGTTCGGTGTTTGCAATTAATAATGTCTATGTGCTCTGTTCACATGTCAGCGTGTAGTTAGTCTTTCCTCTTGAGCCTAAGTCGGCGCATATTGTAGAGGTCATAGCTCTCCATGTCTGGCGGTTCTTTACCATCTGTTTGAGGTCCTGGATGTCCATCTGGCCCATGGTTACGCCTTCTCTGCTGATGGTTCTAGGCAGGGTCCCTCTTGGTCTTCCCCGTTTTCTGTTCCCTCCCAGTGTCCATATGAGGGCTTGATGGGACAGTCTTATCTTATCCATTCAGAGTGCTTTAAATGCCATATAAACATATGTCCAGTGTTTACAATAAATGTCTGTGTGTTCTGTCTACAGTGTTCTCAACTGCCACCCTACCATCAACGACGAGCTACCTGTCCATCTGGTCAGCGGTCGGGTACAGACGAGAGCCAATATCCTGTGTGTGGACACTAACAGTGTCCAGTTCGACGACCTCACGGTATGCCCTTGTGATGTCATCATTTTAGCCACGGGATACGAGTACAGAGTGGACGTTGTGGACGAGCAGGTGTTCAAGGTGGACAACAACAGAAGTAGGCTGTATAAGTATATGTTCCCACCACATCTGAGCAAACCCACCTTGGCAATCATTGGGCTCGTACAGTCCATTGGGGCCTCCATGCCCATTTCGGAGATGCAGAGTCGCTGGTTCGCCAGAATTATGACAGGTGAGTCATGTTCTTGTCAGGGTGTGTAAGTGATAGAATGATAGATGAGTGTAAGAGAGAGAGAGAGAGAGAGAGAGAGAGAGAGAGAGAGAGAGAGAGAGAGAGAGAGAGAGAGAGAGATTGTAAAAAGGAAATGGAGAAGAATGAGGGAGACAGAAATGTTTGTATCCATTTCTTTTTTTCAAATGACAAGTAACAGAAAGAGGGCAGAAAGGAAAGGGAGCGTTGTGCATGCCAGTTTTGTTACAATGATGTTTGTGTGTGTGTGTGTGTGTGTGTGTGTGTGTGTGTGACAGAGAGAGAGAGAGAGAGAGAGAGAGAGAGAGAGAAGGAGAAAGACCGAGAGGGAAAAAAGGTGTGTTTCTCACGATTACTGACTTGTTGTGAGATCAAGAGAGGGTGGGAGTTGGAGATAGAGATTTGTTTGTGTTATCTTTTTATATGACAAATCTGTTGTATAATAAGAGGTGAGAGATTTACAATGGAATCAAACAGATGAAGAAAATAATATGTATACGTGTATATCTGTCTGTCTGTCTGTCTGTCTGTCTGTCTGTCTGTCTGTCTGTCTGTCTGTCTGTCTGTCTGTCTGTCTGTCTGTCTGTCTGTCTGTCTGTCTGTCTGTCTGTCTGTCTGTCTGTCTGTCTGTCTGTCTGTCTGTCTGTCTGTCTGTCTGTCTGTCTGTCTGTATATATACTTCTACAAAGTCCGACAATTAAGTAATGAGACTGATTTTATTATGGTCAAGACAAAATTGCCATCTATGAAGCAAAGCATGGAATCTAAAGAGGCAACATTTGTCTATGATCTGGCAACTTTTCATCGCCGCTTGATAAGCAGACAGCAAACGAGCCACCATTGTGTTGACCTATTCAGAAGTGCATTGTTGCGTAATCAGCACGAAGCAAAATGCTAACATTAAATTCTTTTTAAAAGTCAGAAAAAGCTCAATTAAAACAGTTTAATTGATGCAACAGGTTTATGGGAATAATTATTTATTTTGTGCACACATTTTCAGGTGGTATTCACTATTCAAAAGTGGTGTGGAAATTATTACTAATGTACCTAGATCTGATGCAAAATTTATGTTCGTAATGATGACATTTAAAAAAGTCAGAGAAAGGATAAAAGAAGATCATTGTTTTACTGTGAGGATGATGGCAGATGAATCTGGTGTTAATTGAGAGACCATTCATAACATTTTAGTGCAAGATTTTGGCAAGAAAAAAGTTGCTTGCCGGTTTGTACCACATTCGTTGTCTGATGACCATTTACATCAGCGGGTTGAGTACCCAAGAGACGTCATCAAAACAAGAATTGTAGCCCCTAAAACAAGTGTGTTCTCAGCCTTCCAACCTATTCCCCAAATTTGTCTCCCTTAATTATTTAAAATTTTAAAAATTAAAGTTACGATTTAAATGACGCTTCTTTAATGATATTGATGACATCTAAAGGGCAGTAACATTGACTTTAAGGGCCATAACAACAAAAGAACTACAGAGGTCGTTCGACTGTTTGTTAGATCGTGCGACTTGCTGTACCAATGCACAAGGGGCTTACTTTGAATCAGATACAGGTTATATCTTCAACTGTTGATTATTTTGATTTTTATGGTATCAGACTCATTACTTCATTGAGGGACCTTGTATTTATCAGTCAATCTATATATTGATAAATCTATCTATCAACCAGTTTATCTACCTATCAGTCTATCATCTCAAAGGTGTGATTTATTACCCCCATGATTGTATCTACCCGTCTGTCAGTCAGTCAGTCTCCCCCCTCCCCCCCCCCACCTTTTTCTCTCACGGATGTCAGCTCTCTTCACTGGTGTCAGATCTCTACACTGATGTCAACTGTCTAAACTGGTGTCAATTCTCTACACTGGTGTCAGCTCTCTACACTGGTGTCAGCTCTCTACACTGGTGTCAGCTCTCTATACTGGTGGTAGCTCTCTTCACTGGTGGTAGCTCTCTACACTGGTGTCAGCTCTCTACACTGGTGTCAGCTCTCTACACTGGTGTCAGCTCTCTATACTGGTGGTAGCTCTCTATACTGGTGGTAGCTCTCTACACTGGTGGTAGCTCTCTACACTGGTGTCAGCTCTCTATACTGGTGTCAGCTCTCTACACTGGTGGTAGCTCTCTACACTGGTGTCAGCTCTCTACACTGGTGTCAGCTCTCTATACTGGTGTCAGCTCTCTATACTGGTGTCAATTCTATACACTGGTGTCAGCTCTCTACACTGGTGTCAGCTCTCTATACTGGTGTCAGCTCTCTATACTGGTGTCAGCTCTCTACACTGGTGTCAGCTCTCTACACTGGTGTCAATTCTATACACTGGTGTCAGCTCTCTACACTGGTGTCAGCTCTCTACACTGGTGTCAGCTCTCTACACTGGTGTCAATTCTATACACTGGTGTCAGCTCTCTACACTGGTGTCAGCTCTCTACACTGGTGTCAGCTCTCTACACTGGTGTCAGCTCTCTATACTGGTGTCAATTCTATACACTAGTGTCAGCTCTCTACACTGATGTCAGCTCTCTACACTGGTGTCAACTCTCTACACTGGTGTCAGCTCTCTACACTTGTGTCAGCTCTCTATACTGGTGTCAATTCTATACACTGGTGTCAGCTCTCTACACTGGTGTCAGCTCTCTACACTGGTGTCAGCTCTCTACACTGGTGTCAGCTCTCTCCACTGGTGTCAGCTCTCTATACTGGTGTCAATTCTATACACTGGTGTCAGCTCTCTACACTGGTGTCAGCTCTCTACACTGATGTCAGCTCTCTACACTGGTGTCAACTCTCTACACTGGTGTCAGCTCTCTACACTTGTGTCAGCTCTCTATACTGGTGTCAATTCTATACACTGGTGTCAGCTCTCTACACTGGTGTCAATTCTATACACTGGTGTCAGCTCTCTACACTGGTGTCAATTCTATACACTGGTGTCAGCTCTCTACACTGGTGTCAGCTCTCTATACTGGTGTCAGCTCTCTACACTTGTGTCAGCTCTCTATACTGGTGTCAATTCTATACAGTGGTGTCAGCTCTCTACACTTATGTCAGCTCTCTACACTGGTGTCAACTCTCTACACTGGTGTCAGCTCTCTACACTTGTGTCAGCTCTCTATACTGGTGTCAATTCTATACACTGGTGTCAGCTGTCTACACTGGTGTCAGCTCTCTACACTGGTGTCAGCTCTCTACACTTGTGTCAGTTCTCTACACTGGTGTCAGCTCTCTACACTGGTGTCAGCTCTCTATACTGGTGTCAATTCTACACACTGGTGTCAGCTCTCTACACTGGTGTCTGCTCTCTACACTTGTGTCAGCTCTCTATACTGGTGTCAATTCTATACACTGGTGTCAGCTCTCTACACTGGTGTCAGCTCTCTACACTGGTGTCAGCTCTCTACACCGGAGTCAGCTCTCTACACTGGTGTCAGCTCTCTACACCGGAGTCAGCTCTCTACACTGGTGTCAGCTCTCTATACTGGTGTCAGCTCTCTACACTTGTGTCAGCTCTCTATACTGGTGTCAGCTCTCTACACTGATGTCAGCTCTCTACACTGGTGTCAGCTCTCTATACTGGTGTCAGCTCTCTATACTGGTGTCAGCTCTCTACACTTGTGTCAGCTCTCTATACTGGTGTCAGCTCTCTACACTTGTGTCAGCTCTCTATACTGGTGTCAGCTCTCTACACTGATGTCAGCTCTCTACACTGGTGTCAGCTCTCTATACTGGTGTCAGCTCTCTATACTGATGTCAGCTCTCTACACTGGTGTCAGCTCTCTATACTGGTGTCAGCTCTCTACACTTGTGTCAGCTCTCTATACTGGTGTCAGCTCTCTACACTGGTGTCAGCTCTCTACACTTGTATCAGCTCTCTACACTGATGTCAGCTCTCTACACTGATGTCAGCTCTCTACACTGATGTCAGCTCTCTACACTGGTGTCAGCTCTCTACACCGGAGTCAGCTCTCTACACTGGTGTCAGCTCTCTATACTGGTGTCAGCTCTCTACACTTGTGTCAGCTCTCTATACTGGTGTCAGCTCTCTACACTGATGTCAGCTCTCTACACTTGTGTCAGCTCTCTATACTGGTGTCAGCTCTCTATACTGGTGTCAGCTCTCTACACTTGTATCAGCTCTCTACACTGGTGTCAATTCTATACACTGGTGTCAGCTCTCTACACTGGTGTCAGCTCTCTACACTGGTGTCAGCTCTCTACACTGGTGTCAGCTCTCTATACTGGTGTCAATTCTATACACTGGTGTCAGCTCTCTACACTGGTGTCAGCTCTCTACACTGGTGTCAGCTCTCTATACTGGTGTCAGCTCTCTATACTGGTGTCAGCTCTCTACACTGGTGTCAGCTCTCTACACTGGTGTCAGCTCTCTACACTGGTGTCAGCTCTCTATACTGGTGTCAGCTCTCTACACTGGTGTCAGCTCTCTACACTGGTGTCAGCTCTCTACACTGATGTCAGCTCTCTACACTGGTGTCAGCTCTCTACACTGGTGTCAGCTCTCTACGTTGGTGTAAACTACAAACATATATATACATTACAGGAGCCGCGAAGTTACCCAGTCAGCAAGAGATGATAGATGACATCAACATGAAGGAGGCAGCCATGTCCGACCTGTACGTGCGCTCTAGGAGACACACGCTGCAGGTATGTGATCAACCCCTGTCCTGCCTACTGCAGGACTGTCTGTGATCTTGGCTCCCAGGCTGACTCAGTCTTAAAAAGGTACTATACAAAGTCCTGGGAAGTACAGGCGGCCTGTGAGATAATGACGGCAGCCCCCACTGAATAATGAATAGTCTATCATAAGTTTGTAGGTGCTTTTCTGAAGAAAAAAAAATTGTCATATTCAAACTGCAGCCCCGAAGAGGGAGCTTTGGGTTACAATTGTGACTAGATTATGTGCGCGACATCAAATGACTTAGCACTGCTCGCCACCAATAGCCATGAAGACCCCTGCAGTGTTGATGTGATCAAAGCGGACATACCCAAATGCTCTCCTGACCGGCGACGAAGTCGTCTACCGGTGAGCCAATGGGCGATCCAGTCGCCGATGTGCAAGTGTATCAAATATACTTATATATAGTCGTGTAGAAAGGTCATTGTACTGCTTTTCTGTGGTGTCTTTATGAAACTAACACACATACAGACATTTTTAAGAATACCCATTTCCATTAACAGAGCACCAAACATGTCTGGCGTGTGAATGTGATTCCACCTTTATTTTATTTGAATGGAAACATTTCCTGTTGTTGACGACACATGTCTAGTCATCATTATCAGGTGTGACGCCGGGTGGCTACGGTGATTGTCTTGGGCACAGTCAAAACATTGGCTCTTTGAAATATGCTTCTGAGAAAGGGGGGGAGAGAGAGAGAGAGAGAGAGAGAGAGAGAGAGAGAGAGAGAGAGAGAGAGAGAGAGAGAGAGAGAGAGAGAAATGAAGGGAAAGAAAAATTGTGAGACAATGAGAGATAACTTCAGTGTGTGTTAGAGAGAGAGAGAGAGAGAGAGAGAGAGAGAGAGAGAGAGAGAGAGAGAGAGAGAGAACGCAAAAATGGGTACACGTTCCAAGGGGAAGAATAGCACTATAATGTCTTGTCTCTGCTGTCTTGCACTATATCGTCTTGTCTCACTTACCCGAGTAGGTCAGAATGGAGCAAGATCACTGGACACTGTTTGGAATGCCAGAGCACCCATACAAAGCACACAGTGTTTGCAAATAACAGACAGACGTGTACAGGAAGCACTTGCATCACTTAGACAAAATGAATGCGACATATTATGCAAACAACAGACAGACGTGTACAATAAGCACTTGCATCACTCAGACAAAATGAATGCGACAGATGCAAACAACAGACAGACGTGTGCAAGAAACACTTGCATCACTTAGACAAAATGAATGCGACATATTATGCAGAAAACAGACAGACGTGTACAATAAGCACTTGCATCACTCAGACAAAGTGAATGCGACATATTATGCAGACAACAGACAGACGTGTACAATAAACACTTGCATCACTTAGACAAAATAAATGCGACATATTCTGCAGACAACAAACAGACGTGTACAATAAGCACTTGCATCACTTAGACAAAATGAATGCGACATATTATGCAGACAACAAACAGACGTGTACAATAAGCACTTGCATCACTCAGACAAAATGAATGCGACATATTATGCAAACAACAGACAGAAGTGTGCAAGAAGCACTTGCATCACTCAGACAAAATGAATGCGACATATGCAAACAACAGACAGACGTGTGCAAGAAACACTTGCATCACTTAGACAAAATGAATGCGACATATTATGCAAACAACAGACAGACGTGTGCAAGAAACACTTGCATCACTCAGACAAAAATGAATGCGACACATTATGCAAACAACAAACAGACGTGTGCAAGAAGCACTTGCATCACTCAGACAAAATGAATGCGACATATGCAAACAACAGACAGACGTGTGCAAGAAACACTTGCATCACTTAGACAAAATGAATGCGACATATGCAAACAACAGACAGACGTGTGCAAGAAACACTTGCATCACTCAGACAAAATGAATGCGACATATGCAAACAACAGACAGACGTGTGCAAGAAACACTTGCATCACTTAGACAAAATGAATGCGACATATGCAAACAACAGACAGAGGTGTGCAAGAAGCACTTGCATCACTCAGACAAAATGAATGCGACACATGCAAACAACAGACAAACACAAACTATGGATGCTTGCTTCAGTGAGACACGCTAACTACAGCACATGCAAACAAAAGACATACATGCTAAGGAAATACTTGCATCACTCAGACATAATAAACACAAACACTATTGTTTGTTGTTTACAGACTTTCTGGATCGACTACATGGACCAAGTGGCAGCTCACATAGGGGTCCGGCCTTGTTTGTGGAAGCTAATGTGTTTAGATCCGGAGTTGGCACTCAAGTGCTACTTGGGACCATGTCTGCCTGCCCAGGTAACATTTCTTCCACATAAATATACAGAGGGGGAACCCTTGATGCTGTAGAAATATCGTGTGTCCGAAAAGTCGTTCTGCACTTGTGACTGGTCACAGGAAATTAACGAAACAAGACATAAATGTGAAATCTTCACCAAACGCAAGGAAAACGCTCCAAGTTTCGTACCGATTTAGTACAAGGAATTCCAGTGAAATTTTACTAAAAAGCATAACAAACGGGCAAGCAGAAAAACGTGCACAAAACAGTACAAAAAACGTAACGTTTCGGCCGGGCAGCCTTTGTCAATCAGGAAGTGAACTACACAAAAATAACAACGAGGAGAGCTAACCTGTATGTTTGTTAGAGAGCTAACCTGTATGTTTGTTAGAGAGCTAACCTGTATGTTTGTTAGAGAGCTAACCTGTATGTTTGTTAGAGAGCTAACCTGTATGTTTGTTAGAGAGCTAACCTGTATGTTTGTTAGAGAGCTAACCTGTATGTTTGTTAGAGAGCTAACCTGTATGTTTGTTGAAGAGACAACCTCTCCTCGTTGTAATTTTTGTGTAGTTCACTTCACGTTTGACAAAGGCTACCCGGCCGAAACGTTACGTTATTTGTGTTGTTTTGTGCACGTTTTTCTGCTTCCCCATTTGGTTTTAAACTTTTTATTCCAATTTCACTGGAATTCCTTGTATTAACTTGACTGCAGTCACCCCCATATTTTCACCATTTTTCGATTCTGTACAGTTGGTGGGCTTCGCTTCGTAATGCCAGGATGCCAGGTTCGATCCCAGCTGCGGGCAATGCGCCTTGCGTTGGTTTGGACAGTGGTATCAAGAAGGCCGACCGTCCAGGAAGCAATGGCAAACTACTGGATGTAACTTGCCTAGAGAAACCACACAACAGCCAGGGGCTGTTGGGGCTGGTTCTGCAACGTCCTGTAAAGGATACGCAACTAACTAACAGTTGGTGGTGTTGCGTCATCACTTGTGTGAGCACATGCTTGCACATTATACTACGAAACTATGAAACAGAACAGAAATTGGAGGGAGAGGACGTCTGAAAAAGAGATAACTTGGGGGGGGGGGAATATCAGACATGCGGAGAGAGGGATACGGGGAGATAGAGAGAGAGAGAGAGAGAGAGAGAGAGAGTGACAGAGAGAGTTAGAGAGACAGAGAGAGACACAGAGAGAGAGACAGAGAGAGACACAGAGAGAGACGGAGAGAGACAGAGAGAGACAGAGAGAGAGACACAGAGAGAGAGACACAGAGAGAGACACAGAGAGAGAGACAGAGAGACAGAGACAGAGAGATGTTAAAATGCATTACAATGATTGATACTTATACACTGGAACAGAGGGAATCCTTTAGCTCGATGACGACAGTGAAGCTGACAACATATTTGATATTTATTTATGTTTCTCCTTTCTGCTGATATCAACAGTACCGACTTATGGGACCTGGCTCTTGGACAGGCGCGAGGCAGTTCATCGTCAGCGCTCTCAGCAGAGTCACCAAGTTCAAACCACTCGACAAAGCTCCGTGTGCCGGCTCCACTGACTGGAGAGGCCATGCCAGTTGTAGAGAGATAACTGGTGTTCCTGTGAGCACGCCCGGTAGCTCAACTGGACCACACTGTTCCTATCACCTGCAGACTGCAGGTGCACAGGTGTCGCTGGTGGGCAAGGCTGGGTCTCCTGCAGAAAGAACCACACGGCCAACCTCAGAAGGACGACCCGGAAGTAGAAGCTCGTCTCAATGGACCACATTTGCCTTTTACGTGGTAGTGATGGCGATCTGTTGTATTGCATGGCTATTAAGTGTTCTGTGTAATCAGGCTGAGTCTTTACTAAACGTTGTTGATAAAAAGTTGCCTTTAGTTGATTAAAAAGATAGTAAAAGTAAGCCGCACTGTAGTCACACCTTATGCATTTCTTAAGAGTACAAACCATTTTGTTAGTAAACTCCGTTAGTCTATTAACATAAATACGTTTACACTAGCATATATGGACGCGAGAACAGAAAGCCAGTTCAGACAGGAGTTCTTTATTTCGGATATCATGATGGTTCTTCTCTCCAGCACCGCTTTCACTTTCCTTTACAGCTAGCAAAGTCTTAGACATTGACAGATTTTCGTAGGCGTTTTGATCTGTAGTTCTGAGTAGTCTGAAATCCTAATTTCTATAATGACTTCCTTTACGGTTAATTACAAATTGATACAAAAAATATATAGGTTTACTACTATGATATAAAGATGTGGACGTGCGGGACATGGTACAGAAGTTGGCGCGTGGGAATAGGAAGCCACAGATTTTGATAATTGTAGAGGGAAAACATGAAGGGAATGGGCGCAAAGAAGTACACAATTGCAAATAGGTTAAAGGCTATACATCCGAGACGAAGGATGTCAAATATGTGCGACGGCAAATATAGTCATAAAGTCCGTACTCTTGTTGTAGAAGACTTGTCTTAGCAACAGCTGGTCTTGCTAATCACACTAGCCATCGCCACTGACTAATTGTGAATGGCGAATTGGTGATCGACATCACGGCACTCGGGATACGTCCATAAGCGCTCCGTCTCCATCTTTAGCAGCAAGCAAAGAGTTCTAATTCGGATGGTACCTGTTACCTTTCCCTTGAGTATTGAGCGTCAGCCAGCTCCCATGGTAGCTCCTCGCAGCGCCATTCTCTTCAGACCTTAATGATCTATTTGTGCCTCTGCACTGTTCACTAACTACCAAAGGGTCTTCACAACATCTAGCTTGTCACATCCATTCACCACCAAGTTGTGTACCACCGGCCAGACTGTCTGCCTGCTGTTTCCCAACCCACCACTATGGAAAATATGCAAAGGACGCTAACTACTGGCGACCTCTGAAGCGATGTTTGCCACTCTGCACGGAGCATGCACCGTGATTCACACGCCTCCCTGTAACGCAATACAACAATGTTGTCTGGAAAGACGGAAAAGGGACCAATAAACCATCTCCGAGCTGCTTAGCTATGTGTTAAACTTGGTAGGAGGATAACGGACCGAAACAATTGTGGACGAGGGACCAACCTACATGCTGTGCGTGTTTCCACTGTGAAGTTCCTCTTATTATTATTAGTCTTGGCGAGGTCATGCTAGGCAGATCTGGACTAAGGAGTAAACAAACTTGACCTGAAAGAAACCTTGACCTATGCCACCCAGAATCTAGCAACAGCGATGCCTAGTTTTCTAAACTTGACTTCGCGTAAACAGAGATAAGGTTATAGGCGACACACAAGCGGCTAGTTGTTTGTGGTGGCGCATGAGTGACTACATGTATTCCTAGAATGCTGGATGAAGGAAATGACACAAATAGACAAATGTTAGCTTTTCTAAGAAAATCTTAATCAAAGGGAACATGGAGAAAATGTAGCTACACATCTGAAGCATTGTCTATTTTGTCAGCAATCCACATGATTCGTGAAAAAGACAAACAAAACCTTCAATCCAGAAAGCGAAAATACAGAAATATGGAGCAAGAAAAGGTTGAAAAAGGAGACAACTTGCAATGGGGTTTGGGGGAAAAAATGAATAAAACCTAAACATTCGAGCGCACAACACAAACACACACGCCCACGCCCACACACACACACACACACCCACCCACCCACCCACACAACCCCACCCCTCCCCCACACAACCCCCACCTCCTCCCCCACACACACACACAGGGATGAGTGGTAGTGATATTGATTACTATTGAATTAAAAGTACATTAAACTATAATTGAGATGTTTTTCTTCAATATAAGAGATGTGTGAGGTAGTCACCGGAGCAATATTTTAAGGCAGCGACAGCATTTTTTTTTTAGGTTTTGGTCCTGCCCGTAGGCCACTACTGAGTTTTCTTTAGAGATCTGCTCGGTGTCGGCATTAGAGTGAAGAAATTTGACGTGTCCAGTAGAATTTCAGAAGCAGCTAATTACTTCCTAATAATTTAAGTTATTTGTTAAGGGAAAGCAGCAGTAGCGTAGTGGCTAGACGCTCGCCTGACAACCTGACAGCCTAATGGTTCAAATCCGTATCAAGGTGGATTCTTTTCAAAATTAACAGTGGCTCCCCTGTCGATCCAGTCTAAAGTGGGTACCAGGTAAAGACCGGGGAAGTAAAGGCAACCGATTGATAATTAAAATATAGATCTAGCACCACATGCCCGTAAGGTCTGAAAAGGGTCGCTTATTTAAATTTTACTTTTGCTTGTTGATTGAAGCTTGTTGGACGACAATCTCTCTCTGTCTGTCTCCCTCTTTCTCTCTCTCTCTCTCTCTCTCTCTCTCTCTCTCTCTCTCTCTCTCTCTCTCTCTCTCTCTCTTAATAATTGTGTTTTTTAAAAGTTGGTCTATACTTTGTATTATCAGTTGTGTATATTTTTACAGCAATACCGCAGTTTTAACCCACCTAACTTATATAAAACAATGTATTTTATCTTGGTATGCAGTTTTACGGAAGTCGAGGGCATTTTCTATGTATAGATGATGATAAAACAAAGTATTCATCTTAGCATATGGTTCTAATACAGCCAAACTAATTTCATTTATTTGGAACGAAATTTTTTAACTTGATATACATCAAATCCAGGTGATCGTGTGAGATAGCGGGGAAAAACCTATGTTAAACGACACGGCTCATAAAAATGATAATTAGAACTTAATTCTAGGGGGAAGAAAAAAAAGTGCCGATACTTACCACAAGGTGCCTTAAAAAAAGGTGTCCATGCATACTGTTACGTACCGCTAGAAAAAAAGCCTTATTAATGTTGACAACTAGACAACATGAAAGTCTGGAGCTAATGAATGCAGGAAGTTTAACTGTCCCTTCCGAATAATTTTGTCACCTTACTGAAAAAGGGATGGGGGCATATATTTAGACTCGACCTCCTGCATAGCATGTAATTTATGTCGTGTAATTTTAATTTTATATAAAGTATGTCATTTCTGAGCTGGTCTGACTTCCATCCATCATCATGTAGCAGGTCCTTTGCAGAACGTCGCTCTCATTTCAGTTTACCGGAAAGAAACTCGGTCTCTCGCCACCTCTCCATGTATATTCATACTCAAGGAGTCACCTATATTCTGTGCTCATGTTCGTGTTGGTCGGCCCCTGTCCCTGCTTCCTGGTACCATGCCTTCTGCTATTATTTTGTCCAATCCGTCGTGACGCTTGATGTGACCAAAATATTTCAGCTTCCGAGACAGGATGCTGTTTATTACCCAATCTTCCTTGATGTTCAGATCTTTCAAGATGTCAGTATTTCTCCTGTTTGTCCAAGATATTCTGAGAATCTTTTCATAGCATTTCAGCTCAAAGGCCCCTAGTGACTTCCATTACTCCTGGGAAATAGTGGGGAGACAAGCATATTACGTTTATCCCAGGCATTCAATCGCTGCAGGAAGCCGACGTGGTCTAGCTGCTAAAAGCTCGCCTGTGGATTTGAAGGTCGGGGTTCGGGTACTGACATGGAAGGACTTTTTTTTTCCTTAAATGACCTTAGCTTTCAGGTAGACCCAGCCTTGAGTTGGTACCAGGTGCCGTCCTGGAAAGTAATTGCGGCCGGCGTGATGCTGACCACATCACCCACCAAGTGTCGTTTGGTCTATAAAATATAGGTCTAGCCCAATAAATGCAAAATTCTCCTGAAGGCGTTGAAAAGAGTCCTTTACTGGGATTACATCGCTACAGAGCCAGACTCAGACCCAGAGCCAGATCCAGAAACAAGAGATGCTTCCTTCCTTTTGTTCCCCGGCTGAGAATTCCGGCGGAAAGTCCTGGTCGTTCTTCCATTTGAACTTTTGGCTTTTACCTGGACCTGATGTTTGCGTGTACATCCGTTTTACTGGCTTTTTGTGTGTGCAGTTCTCGTTTCCTGCTTATCCGGCAGATGTAACCCGACTTGAGGGAAGGGCTGATATAGAGAGGTGAATCGCCAGATATAGCTCGTTAGTCGACACCCTCACTGAAGATAGATTCTTCAAGTCCGTAAGTTTTCGGATACTTTCTTTAGTATAAATCCCAGTGTGTTGCGACTGTCAACGCGAGTTTTGATGTCTTATTTCGTCCCGCGCGGCGTCCATGGCTAAGGCGTTGCGAGTCCGACTCGTAATCCAACGTACCGCGATCGAAACCCACTGCGGGCTGCGTGGATTTTTATCGTGGTATGGGACGTCGCAGGTCGACCCAGCCTCAGATGGGTACCAGGATGGGCTGTCCTGGGGAAGTAAAGACGGCCGGCGTAATGTTGACCACATTACCCATCCAGTGCCGATTGGTCTGTAAATAATATACGGGACGCTCTGCCCATTTACCCGATGCGCCTTAGGCGTAATAAGGGATCTTTACTTTTTTTTTTTTTTTTTTTTCCACTTTTATGGCGTCCCGCAAAATACAGTGGAATCTCCTGGTACCAGTGTACCTAGTGACGAATTGTTCAGGATACGATCTATCTATTTAAAATCGACCACGTTCACCTTACTGCGAGCAGTATTGGTTACAATTAGCCCGGCTCGCTACCGGACTTCGCGGCGCCCGGGTGACGAACTCCTTGTGGGTCCGTGTTCTAGCCCGGGGGTATGTAGAAAAGCCACATTTCTGCCAGATTTACGGTATCTGTCATGGAATCAAGGCCGAAAGGTTGCGATATCCATAGTACCGAGCCAAAGGGCTAACTCGTGGTTTCTGGATACTTTAAAAAAAAATCGATTATAATTGTAGGATACGAGGTCAGCCTCGCCAGTTTATCTGCCACAGAATGCCTAGCGAAATATAGGATCCGAGCTGGAGAGAGGAAAGCATTTGGCGTTACCCAACAGCATCTCGATAACTTCTATAATGGATATGGGAATCGTCGCCGGAACTACGA